TACAAAAACAAACAAACAATGGACGAGTGGACTACGTTAACGTCTTATTGATCAAGTTCGAAATAATTGACGAGATCGTTTTAGGGCACATTTAAGTTACTTTTTAAGTGTACAGTTTAATAGATTCCCGTACTCCTACAAACACACATATTTATTTGGTCCGCGCTAGAACAGTGCCATCTATGTATCTTGTCTCTATCTTTTGTATACACTAATTTAAATCATCGTAAGAAGAATTAATGAGTCTTGTATATTATGTAACTGCAAAGAAGTAGCAAAGTAAAAAAAATTATAATATATATAAAATCTACACCATAATTTTCTACTTATTGGTAGGTGTCACTAGCTACGCGTTGAAAATGATATATTAATTGAATGAACTACCACACTTGACCACGTCTATAAACTAAGTGTTGCCAGTTCAGATTTTGGCGACAACCCCCAGAAATAGTGTTAGGCTCCTATAGTTAGCTAATAAGTTGGTAAGAACGCCAGTCTTTTTTTTTCTACTAGCCACCGAAACCAATCAGAATTAATGACACAGAAATAGATCTTTAAAGTCGGAGATTCGGTGCTCGTTCTTGACGGTGCAATAACAGACTAAGAAGAAAAATAGGTTCATGATTGTGATAAATGATGTCAGTGACATCAATATCCTTAACAGGTACGCAAGTGCGTGAGAGGAATGTACAGTGCGACATAGAAATGCAACTTGTACAATGAGATGATAATTACTGTCTGGGGGTAGAGAGAGCGAAAGATTAATGAGACAAACTCACGTCACTTCCGTCATGGCAGGAATCTTTTGACCTCACTAAAACTGCTGTGTTTTGGAAACTTAAAGAGCAGAACATTTTTTTTTTCCCACTGATAAATAATATATATTCACATTTCACCAAGTCTTGAGAAGTTCGTTCAAAATATTGTCACATTATACAAAATAAAATATGCCAAAAGATTTTGTTTGTTTGTTTCTAATTAAGCACAGAGCTACACAATAGGCTATCTGTGCTCTGCCCACCACGGGTATCGAAACCCGGTTTCTAGCGTTGTAAGTTCGCAGACGTACCGGTGATAAAAAAGAACTCCAGCCCTTCAATAGCTCAGCGGAAAGTCTAGAGGGCTGATAACGTTAAAATTCTGGATTCGATAGCCGCGATTAGGACCACTCATTGTTTAGCTTTGTGCTTAACAATAAAATAAACAAGAACTTCTTTATGCCAATAAAGATGACGTATAACTAGGTATATTTATAAGTTGTATTGAACGTTCAAACATTCTGTAGGCTATTAGTGCTACTACTCATAACACATTCAGCTAATAAAATATTTTAGGATAAAATAAGAATATAAGTATTGATTTGTTGTTAAGCGCAAAGCTACACAATGGGCTATCCGTGCTCTGCCCAGAGCAGGTATCGAAACCCGACAGGTAGCGTTATAAACTCTCAAACTTTCTGTTGAACCAATGGGGGGCGGGGGGGAGTTGAACAATATACGGAAGGTAACACATCATAGAGGTCTTTAATTTTCCTTTTTATTTCTGAAAACGTTAAAAGTTAGGTTACTAGCATGGTAGGATAAAGTCGTTTATAGTTTGTACTGGAAACAAAAAAGTATAATTTTTCATGTATCAGCGGTAATGCTAGAATTTAGACTTCGATCCCTGCGGTGATTACAGTATAGGTAGCCCATTGTGTAGCTCTGCGTTTAAAGAAACAAACAAACAAAGTGAACTTTAGAAAAAGTTCGTGAATGGCGGGAATGCAAATTACTAGTTCCGCTCGAAACATCGCGAGGCCTAACCAAGGAAAGGTTAATAGATTGCTCTTACTTGTTTCTAGAGTAGGAAAGACGTTCCGGCTTCTATAAGTAGCCCTTGTTCAGTCAGGAGCTGTCCATTAAAGTCAAGACGCTATTAAAGTTGACGTTTCGGCTTCTATAACTAGACCTTGCACTGACAGGAGCTGCCCATTAAAGTCAAAACGCTACTAAAGTTGACGTTTCGGCTTCTATAACTAGACCTTGCACTGACAGGAGCTGCCCATTAAAGTCAAAACGCTACTAAAGTTGACGTTTCGGCTTCTATAACTAGACCTTGTACTGACAGGAGCTGTCCATTAAAGTCAAAACGTTACTAAAGTTGACGTTTCGGCTTCTATAACTAGACCTTGTACTGAAAGGAGCTGCCCATTAAAATCAAAACGCTACTAAAGTTGACGTTTCGGCTTCTATAACTAGACTTTGTACTGAAAGGAGCTGTCCATTAAAGTCAAAACGCTACTAAAGTTGGCGTTTCGGCTACTATAACTAGACCTTGTACTGAAAGGAGCTGCCCATTAAAGTCAAAACGCTCCTAAAGTTGACGTTTCGGCTTTTATAACTAGACCTTGCATTGACAGGAGCTGCCCATTAAAATCAAAACGACTACTAAAGTTGATGTTTCGGATTCTATAACTAGACC